AGTTCATGTCACTTCTACTTTTGTCGGGGAACTCGAAAAATCTACGGTTTTAAGATATGATAAAAAAAAAAAAATGCGTTATTATTGTGAATAGACCTAAAATAATCGAGGTAATAATAAACATATGGGTGGAGTTTATCTTATGGATTCAATGATAGGAAAGTATAGGATTATAATGAGGTCGAAAAAGTGGTATATGAAAATCTTTTATCATTTGATCGACATGTCTATAGTAAATGCCTGGATTTTATTTAAAAGGGTAACAGGGGAATCAATGGAGTTGGAACAGTTTCGTGAACAATTGGCAATCGAACTTTGTCAAGATTCCTTGGAAATAAAAAAAAAAGGTAGAAAATCAGATGCAAGATGAACTTAATAAAAGAATAAAGAGAACACCAACAGCATCGATTCCTTCAGAACAAATCCCAATGGATGGTTACCAACATTAGCCACAGTTCGAAAAAAAAGAGAAGAGTTTGCAGATATTCAGGATGTAAATACCAGTATTTTGCCATGTGCTCCAAATGTACTTTATATTTGTGTTGCAACACAGAAAGAAATTGTTTTGTGGAATTTCACAGTAATTAACATTGTCATTTATATTACTATGCATTTATTTACCTACTACCTAAAATTTAATTTTCTATTACTCAGGTATTTTTTTTATTTTGTTTATTATTTAGAGTTGCATTAATAATTGCATAACATTGTTTTATGTTTCATTGATTTTCTAATATATATATACTTATACGATATAGAATTTTTAATAACAAGTTGCATGGAAGTGCACTGGTGCATTTCATAAAAAACTGACATAATCATTACTTAGAAGACAAAAATCGAATTTTTTACCATTATTTATATGGGTATTTTACATATAAAAACATTTTTTTTGAATAAAAAAAAAAAATCATGCAGTGAAGGGTTAAAGTAACAAAAGACTGTTATTATTAAGTATATACTTATATTATATAAAAATTAAAGTGTTCATTATTACCTAAATAGTGTTGTATATAATGATTAAATAAATCAAAATTTTATTTATGAGCATCATTAATGATTATGATTATGGTTTTAAGTAAAGTAAAAAATGTAATCTGATGAGGCCAGAAATGGTACAAAACAATGACCACAAATATTACAATGGTGGCTAAAACTGGTGCATTTTACTTTTTTATTTTTCATTGAAGATTAAAAAATTTCCTCATGACTTTTTAAAATATAAATTATATAGATAGAAAGAAAATAACATGGAGCTCGGTAATTAAATATCAAAGTTTAAAAATTTTAATTTTTACTAAAGAAAAAAAATTATAACAAATTTATTTTTTCTTAAATTGGCTAGAACTGGTACACTTACCCTAATCAATTAAATAAAAAAGTTAAATTAGTTTGTTGTCTAAAACAAAAAATTTAAAATTATTTTAAAAATAAATTAAATTAGTATATTTTTTCTATTTTAATATTTTAAAACTTCTCCTCCATATAAATAATTGTCAAAAATTTTTATTTTCTGTTTATTAAAATTCTAATAGTGAATTAATATCAAAGAACAATAAATACCAACAATGATTAATAAGATAAGGCCCCTGCAATAAATGTGTATTGCTGCGACAGTTAGATTTTTATAATTATTCTTGTTTTTTACTGTCAAAAATCTAGTTTTTCTCTATTGTTCATTATTAGTAATATTTATTTATTATTATACATATATTACTTAAATTAATTATTTTAAATAATTTTACGATAGTACTATTACCTAGAGACCATAGTTATAAATGAAAACATTTTGGCTTTTAAATAGATAGTAAAATTATATAAAGGATTTAAATAAAAAAACAAATTTATTATTTTACATGTAAGTCTGTCATTGCATACAGCTGTAATATTACTACTTTCAAATCACATATGCAACTGTGTAAATCAAAAAAATTTATCTCATTGAGTTCAATTAAACCATATTTTCAAGTATGTCTAGCTGAAAGAGGTGAAAATCTGTTGAATGAAGCTGGTCAAGTTATTAGCAAAAGAAGAAATTGGTTATCATCAGACTGAGTTAATCGACTACTTTTTTTAAATTCATATTTAAAAGAAAAATATGGACTACATAAGGATAACATAATAGTATTAAAAAATTAAATATAGTATATTTTAATTAAATACTTATAATTTTATGTATATTTTCAGGAGGCAATTATATAAAACATGGAGGTATCTAAATTAGATAAAAAGTAAATAATGTAACAGTAATTTTAATTCAGTATTATTTTTATTTTTTTATTTTTTATAATAATATAATTCACATTAAAAAAAATGTAATATAACAATTCCAAAAAACAAAATTATATGTTGTATTAAGTATTGTTGTTTTTAGTCTTATAAAATATATCGATATACGTATAGTTTTTTAATATTGATATCGTTTTTTTATATCGCAATACAATATCAATAATTTAAAATACATCATTGTGCAATACTATTACTAATATTATAATAAAATTAATAATTTTATGTTGTCATATCAACATTATCTACAAATAATAATCTTCAATTTTCAAAATATTAATATAAGAAAAAATAAATAAATAATATTTATAATAGTTATGTTACTATGCGTTAATAGTTAAAGCATAATTCACATTAATATTACTTACATTATTTAATATTATTTACATTATAAAATTAATAAATATAATTCTGTAAATACATTTATTTATTATTAGTAAAATGTAAATAAATTTTGATTATTTTAAAATAGATTTATAGCTGACTATAATAGACAATTAATTTAACCAATAGCATTAATAAGTATATTTATAAGAATTGTTTTATATAAAATGTTTATTAATTCAATTGTAGGTTCTTATTTAAAAAATAAAGACATAAATCACAAGGAAAATTTTAATAATACTAAAGTAATATTTAAAATCTTCTTTTATCTTCTCCTTCACTTTAATCCCAACTATTTGGGGTCGGTCACCCTTGTCCTAAACCTCCACTTGGCTTGATTTTCTATACCCCCGACCTACACACCAATAACCTTAAAATAATTCTTAATTGTATTGGTATTTCTCTCTTTTTTCCCTTTAAAGTTAATTTTCATAACATCTCATACTGCTTTTTTTTCTTTAAGTAATATTTAAAATAATTTATAAAATGATACTAATAATATTTATGCTTATTTTTAATTATTATGTGTAAGCAGAATTAGCAGAAACTTGTGCTAAGCTTATATTAAATTATATGGTTTAGTTAATTTTTACAAAATTATTATAAATCATTGATGAAAAAAAAATCTTCAAAATACATATTACACTAGTATACTCAACAAAAATGTTTTTAGAAAAAGTCAGTTTGTTTTGTGATAACTGATGATAAATGATTATATATATATACATGATTATAGAATCATATAGTCTTTATTGAGATATATGTATTTTAATTTTTGAATAATGAAAACAAATGGATAAATTGGACTTACAGTATTAATTGAAAAATTGTTATTTCAGAATAAGAGAAAACATAATAGAATTCTTTTAATTGCTACTAACTGAATATTGAAGATTCAAATTCAAATTCAGATTCTCATTTATATATTAATAAAATATAAGGTTGACGAGTTCAAAGACTCTTATATTTTGACAAATTTTGCAAAAGATAAATAGATAAAGAACACTTATTAATATAAAAATTAACTAGCCATGAATATTCTATCAGTTAAGTGGAAAGTATTAACAAACCTTATAAATTACATTTTTTTATATAAGAGTCAACCACAATGAAAATTTCATTACTCCATAGACATAGGTCTATACTTAAATAATCAATACACTTTGGATGTTGGTAAAACAGAGGTATTGAATAAGAACATATAAACAACAAGCCTACTTTAACAGCAGCTAAAAAAGAAATTGTTTTGGGCAATCAATTCAACTCATGTCCTTAACATTTTTTAACAAGATGTTGTACTAGCATTGTGAACTGACATTTGAAAAATTATAAACGAAACAATATTTGCTAAAAATATTAATAATTTAGAAAAGTAAATAAATTACTGTTATAATTATTACCATCTATATCAGCGATTCTCAAATTGTGGTACGTGGAAGGCCGCATGGAAGTACAACAGAAATTAAAAACTTGATATTTAGTTCATATATTAATTTAAAAACACTGATAAATTTGTATTCATAAATAAATAATAATTTTATTTTAGTATTTCACTGCCTCTTTATTTAAAATAAATGTATTTAACTATGTAAAGTTTGTACAGTTCTATTTTTAATTATTAGTAGTAAGTGACTGATTGATAATATACTCAAGTGGTACTTTTTTAAAAAAGTTTAAGAACCGCTGAACTATAATATACATACAGTTCAAGAAACACTCACTAATTAACTCATCAGCATCCATATCATAAGATCAGTCTGATTATTATTTTTTTTTTATCAATATAGTAACTTATATTTACTCTGATATAAAGCAGCATAATATTTCTCAAGTGAACCAGGTAATTCAGGTAATAATATATACACATTGATAAATATTCAAGATCAACTTCATTTTTAAATTTTTTATTTATCAAAATAGTAATTACTCTTATATAAAGTAGTATAATATCTCTCAAGTAAACCAGGTAATTTAAATATAATATATACATTTGATAATTATTCAAGTTCATAACAATAGAATCTTAAGAAAAATTATTTACAATGTAGATAGTACTTATACTCAATGAATTTAATTTAGAATGAAGTAGCAATTTTTGTATAGCAAACTTAATGATTACCAGTAACTATGACCCAAAATTAAACAATCTAGAATGACGGGATTTGTTATTTATAAAGTGGATATTAAGATATGGTACAACACTATACAATAAATTGTGAAGTTGCCATTGACCAAATTACATAGTAATACATTAAACATTGATACTACACACGCTCCATTCAAAACTACTTTAAAAAATCTCCAACAAGAGTCAGATATGATGTACTTACATGATGACTACTTTGATATACACGACACTTGTGATTTTTCTCAAACAAACGGTACACACAGACTAATAACCAGCAATGACATCACCAAACACAAAACGCCATCATAATAGTTTTTGCAATAACTACAACAGCCATGAGTTCAACAATTTTAGTGATGATTAGATGAGAGCGCTCACTTAAGGCTAATAATTAACATTCAAATATACAGTTACTCACCACCAACACCAGAATTATATATCAGAACCATCAGTTCGAATGAAAGCACATATGAACCAAATAAAGTAATTAAATTAATGGTCAAATATACATATTACTCAACTTACGCGCGTCGCGAATACGAAAATAAACAGCGTAGCTTCAACATTGGTGCTATTGTCGTTCACAATTCGTACGATGACGGGTGACGGCACACGTTATCACAAATGCTTTGGAGGCGTTATCAACAACTACTAAGGAAATTTTATCAAAAACAGCTATGGAGGCGTCGTCAATAACAACTACGAAGACATTATCGATAGCGTAGCTGCCGTAATGACAATGCCGTTCAATAAAGATCCGTTCGTACGTGAACGACACATCGCTAATCGTCATTTAGTGTTAGAGTAATATTAATTATTCCAATTTCACACAAAACATAAATAAATATTAAACAAGATGTAACTTGAAAATAACTTAAGATGTAACTTGAGACATTCATGAGGGGAAAAAAGGAGCCATTGCCCCTTCTGATATTATCTAAATGTATGTTATTTAATGTAACGAAAATCACTATTTATAAAATGATATAGAATTATACAAAATTAGGATAATATTTTAATTTTTTTAAGACTTTTGTTAAAATATTGAAAAAATATGTAACTTTTATTATCTAATAAAACCGAACATCGTTTATAAATTAAATTATGATCAACAATTCTAGTGATAACCAGCACTCGTAAATAAACGCTAAACTGTTTATGTAAACCAAAAATCTTTTTTAAATTTTTAATTTTGTCATTGTCGTTAACTCATTATCCTTAGTTAAGAGGATATCTAAGTATTTAAATTGTGGTACCCTGTGGAAGATATATCCATCTACATTCACACTCTCCATTTTGAGTTGCATATATTCTGTCTTTTCATCATTTATTATAAGACTGATTTTACTTGCAGCATCCATAAGTTTCTTACAATGTACTTTTATTATCTCAATACCGTCTCATATGATGACAATATTATCAGCATATGCTAGCAGGCCTATCTTCTCAGAATTTTCTATGATTACTTTATTAAGGTTTGTTAATTATTTTGGTTTAATAAACTTCTTCAATATATTAAATAACAACCTATTGATACACTACAATAATATGAAAATAGTAGTATTATTAGTTCATTAGTTATTACCCGAGTTATTATCTATAATGTACATTTTTAAATTAAATTTTTTTACAATGAATATTTAGATATATAGTGTTCCTGTTCATTTTGAGCACTGATAATACAGTATTACTAATTGATAAGTGCTTTGAACCAAATAAGATGGTTAATAAGACTTCTGAACAAAGGATAAATTGGACTAGAAAAAAGATGACTACTTCCTCTAAATAATTGTATACAGAATTGTTATATATACTGAAGTAAATAAATAATCAAACCAAAAATAAATTGATTAAGACAGAAATTTAAATTACTTATAATAATTAAAAATATATATGTATTATAAATTTTATTATCAAAATTTATAAATTAATAACTAAAAAAAAAAAATAAATAAATGTTAGGATACTCAACCACAAAAAAAAATATGTATATATAAAGTTATCTATAATATGATTTGTGTTGTTAATGAATTAATGAACCTTATAATATTATAGCCGGAGGTAAAGTATTAAAAATACTCATGGAAGCAGTTCAATAGCAAAACAATAGTCAATGTATAATAAAACTAAAATATATTTAATATGTATCTATAGAAAATTAATTTGGATACATGGATACGCTCAATCATTTTTAGCCTTTTTTTAAAACTTCTTTCTTTTTGAGTAATTTTATTATAACAAGGTTATAGTGGATTCCTAAAATATTATACTTATTATGTTATAAAAAAGAAAATTTATTAAATTATATTTATTATTGAAAAAAATTCTTATTAATTCCATTTAATAATATTATTATTAAATATGTTTTCAAGTATAGGTATTATAGATATAAATTTATTTATATATAACATAACACAAAAAAAAAAAATGTTAAAATATTACATAATAAATTATAAAATATGAATACTTTATAATTGTATAGTGCATGCATGTAAATAAGGTAGGTACTATTTTTTTTATTATTATTATTTTTTTTTTTTTTTAATTGAATCACTGATTTTAAATTATATTAATTCAGTTTATTAATAATATAAAAGTGATAATTTTGAAAATTATATTAAAATACAACACTAATTGTATAAATTAACTGAGTATAAAAAGTTATGTATTTGTAAGGGTTATAGGTAATTTTTTTTATGTTCATATCCACAGTCCTCCTACTTGAGAAATTATAAAATCTAACTATGCCAGAAGTTTATGCTCTGTATGTGCCATTTATGCCCGGTGGTCCCATTTTTATGCTCCCTCTCCAATTTGAGATATACTAAAGAGACCTAACGAAATGATAACCCCTCACTAGAAAAATTATAATGAAAACAAATAACTATGCACATAAATCGATGATTGGTTTTGTACTAAAAATAGAATATGAATTATGATACAGTGAAAACTCTTTATAACGAAAAACTGTATATAACTTAAACACTACATAATAATGGTTGGTTTGCTTTATAACCCACTAGTCAATTTATTCTCTAAAACGTATTTGTCACTCTCAATAAGGAAACAATATTTTATGTTTCATAATACTATTTGTGTTTTCATATTATAAATTATAAAAGTAATCGTCAAAAATGCAGAAATTTCCAAGAAAGATTACACTCTTTCATTATCTACTATTAATATTGTAATAATACCGTTATTATCGATATCTGAGGATACCTGAGGATCTACAAAAGCATATAGAAATAGACGAGAACCTGGTTACAAAATTATTGTTAACTGATGAAGAAATCCTAAATGGAGTGACAAAAGGCGAGAAGGAGCAAAAAAAAAATGAGGAGGAAGAACAACGTGACAAAGTTGTAATACCAAGTATTCAACAAACACTTAATGAGGCTAAATTATTAAAAATATACTTATTGTTTTATGAATATAATCCAAAGTTATCCCAAAACATGAGACAAATACATAGAAAAATTCAAAAAAATATTGGCAAAGTAAACTAGTCCAAACAAAGATGACAGACTATTTTAAATAATAGTATAAAATACATATATATAATATAATGTAAAAATAATTATGTGTAACTTTATATATAAATAATTAAAATTTGTTTTTTTTAACCCTCTAATACGAAAATTTTATAATAAAAAAAAAAAATCTCTTGGTCCCTTCAGATTTGTTATAAAGGGTTTTCACTGTATTTTGTAATTATAATAATATAATAAGTAGAACGTGTAGTTCTTCATTTCAATATAGTGATAATGTTAATTTTAAATTGAATATTGATCAAATCTATGGTATGGGAAGTAAATCTATTTGTTACGATTTGTCCGTCAATTTTGTCATACCTATATGACAAACCCTGATGTACAAAAGATTTTATACAAAACTCTAACTTTATCTCGTTTTCATTTGACACTAATTTTTTACCCTGATTCGTATAAGCAGGTGGCTTTGATTAGAAATTAAAAAAAAAGCTTTGCCGAGCCAACATGGGTAATATCACAATCATATATAAATTATATAAAAATTGAAATTATTGTAAAAATTATTGCAATTTTTATATACTCCACGTGATAAAATATACAAATTATTATTTCTAAAATAATTTTAAAATAAAAGTATAACTACGACGTAAATTTTTACCCGTAATTATACGTAGTTAAGCATTTTTAAAATAATAGGTACTTATCTGAAGTAAATAGTTAATTGTTTAAACATAATTAGTGAAATTGAAAATATTTTTATCAATATTCCCGGTCCTCCCAATGGGAAAATAGTTAAAGATAAATTAAAATATGCCTTAGAAAAAAAATGAAGGATGCAAAACTATTAAAACTAACTCTGAGGCAGTGTTGGACTATCTAGATAAAATTATCCAAAAGATAATCTAGATAACGTCCAAATTATCTTTCATCTTTTATCTAGATAATTCCAGAGTATCTTTATCTTATACTTATATTTTTGCGTTTTTTCTATTGATAGATAATAGATGTTAAATCAAGCAGTTGTTTTTTTTTTTTTTATTAAAATAAGATTTTTTTTTATTTTATTTAGCTGTTTTTCATAATTTGTCATACAATAATAATTGAAATATGTGAACTGTGACATTTATATGTATTTTAAAATTTAAATTATTAGGGGAGAGTGTTGTACTTTGGACCGCTTATACCTTGGACTAATATAAATATTTAATAAAATATTGAGGGAAAAAAAATCTCATGGAAAAAATTTGCGTCATTAGTCCTACTACAATAAATAATTTAGAATTTTATAGCAAAAATGTGCGTATTTTTTTGATAAGCAGCAAGCCATTTGTAGTATCACGTGATATATGTAATGTTGAATATTGTATTAATTAGGAATATTATATGTAGATTATGTAATAGTTGAAATCACCTTTGTAATAGATTAATCGCATTACGAAATTAATTAAATAATATAAATTGTGCTTACTAGTGTATAAATATTAATATAAAAGGAGAACCGACATGTTAATCGTGGCCTCACTTTTATTTTTGTACTTGTTAAAGACTAAGGTAATCCGTATGTGGACAACTGAAGTCTAACTTTACTTGTGTATCAATAATTAAAATATTATATTCTAGTTCAAATCGTCGTTGTTATTTATTTAAATAATCTAGTTAGCCTATTCAACGGGCTTACTACACATTTTTTTATCACAAAAAAAATAATATTTGAATTTTAGAACACGAGTTGTTTTATTTTAATTTATTCACTCAAATTAATAAGGTAAGTGTTAATCTATGTTAATTATTGTATTTAATTGAATGGTGTGGTCCTTTGTTACAATATAAATGTACAAAATGGCCAAAACAACAATTAATAAAAATATAACTCGAATGTACCTTGGACCATCCATTAATTTTTCAAAAATTGATATTACATTATGAATTATTATTTAATAACTTGTAGATTAGTACAGTTATAATGGCTAGAAGCAAACAAGGTATTAAAAGAGTATTACCCAATCAAACAGATTTTGAGTGTACTGTAAATGAAATTATAGCAAATAGTCTAACAGTATCAGAAGCTGTAAGTATTTATAAAGTATCAAAAACCACATTGTTACAGC